TAGTAGTAGTAGTAGTAGTAGTAGTAGTAGTAGTAGTAGTAGTAGTAGTAGTAGTAGTATTTTTTTTAATATGTTTATTATTTTAAAACATCTGTTCTCTTCATTTCCTAGATTTTCTCGTGGTTGTGCAGCTTCCAGTAAATTATATTTACACAGAGCTTTTATCCAATCATATTTCGAGCATCATTTGTTGCTGGTGTCAAAGGAATCTGCCTCAAGGCCTTCAAAACGAACAGTGAAGGCATCTGGAGGTTAAATCAAATGGCAATGAAACTGTTGCTTTCATCATCATACAAGTAGAAGGACTCCGTGTAAAATGCACGGTCCGCCACTGGTTAAATGATACAGGCAATGGGTGATTTGGGGTAAATTTTAAATAAAATAAATAGTCTACATGGAAGTTGTTTCTATAGCAGTTATCCAATAACACCAGCGTCCTTTGTACACAACTAAGTTATTAAAATACCTTCTGTAAAACAGTTTGTTTTTGGCACCTCTGAGACTGATCAGGTCAGGTTAGGTGTCTCATCTGAATTATTATTTTTGTTTTATAAGCTCATACTTTGTCTTATTTCTGAGATGGAAAAAAAAGGTTTATTGTTTAACAGAGTGCTCACGCTACCAGCACAAACTAACGGCTTCTAATCACTTCTGGTCTTTGCATTTTTTAACAGAACAAACAAAAGCGGTACAGAATCTAGAAACTGAAACCCACAAGCTTCCTGTTTGTAAGAGGGTTTCGGTTTTGTCTGTTTTCAGAGGAAACTGACATCTTTCTTGCATACATACTTCAGAATGACTTTAGCTACATTTGCATTTAATATTTTATCATAAGTTTTTAGGGCATCAACCACAAAGGGAAACACAAGTGAAAGAATTAATGTAGAAGAAGTTACATGGAACTGAAAGTACCAAGAGTTTGTCATTGTCTTACCTAGAGATGATCTTGATTTCTTTTTCAATAATGACCAAGGCCACAATACAAATAAAAATGACTGCATACTTGGTCTTCATTCTTGAGTTCTTAAATTTGAGTTTGAGTCTATTTTTTTTTTTTTTTTTTTTTTTTGTGGAGGTTTACAGTCTGTAGTTTGTGTTGGTCATGTCCTGTCATGCAGCAGCTTCATTCTGCAGAAGACAAAATACTATTACAACTTGTAAGAAAGTGACTTTTTGTAAAATGTTATCATCCACACAAAAAGCATTATAGAGAATACATTCGGTCTAATCTGCATCATCTCTTCAACATGACATCAGCTGCAACGCTTTATAGCAACAATGAAATGTAAACTGTGTTTGGTTGTTGCTAAACTGAGTCATCTTATCAGGAAGTAAAATGTGTATAAAAAGGTAGTTGCACATCACATAGATGAGTACATAGTAACGGGGCATTCACCAAACAAACACAAGCCCCAACAGGCTGGTAATGAAATTATGTTAAAATCAGATCCTAATTAACCAGTTTCAAACAATACCATTCTCCTGACCCTGGAGTTTATTATCATTTCCAAAAAAAAAAAGTCATGCCAACAGAAAACAAAAATGAGGCAAATACATTTTGAAATACCTCTCTTTAAACATATTTAAACTGTTTTTAATCAACACATTATTGAATGTTGTGCTTTATTTTAATTTCTAGACAAAAAAAACAACAACTAAGGTCTAACATTAGAATGCATATTACCCGCCACCTTATACCAGCCCTTTAAACTAAGATCAGCTTATGGTGAGCAATTATGTAAAATTAACTCTATATGAGCAATTTAAAACTATAAGTTTTTCAGTCAGTTTGTTATGAATTGTCCTTAGCTACTTCCACATCAAATTTTAGCTCAATTCCTCTGAAAGTGTCTAAGTTATAGCCATTTTTGTGTTAGCTGAGGTCAATTAGCTTTGACAGCCATCTTTAACTGGATTGGTAATCCAGTGATTGCTTGAGAGTTTTGTTATACCATATACTTAGCACAAAAATTTAGGAAATTTGTGTTTGGTGGATATATTTTTATTTATTTTATTTTATTTTATTTGTTGTTGTTGTAACAATGCTCCTTCACAATAAATCTTAAGATTGGCTCCTGATTGGCAGAACCTGGAGGTACCAGAAGCTCAAAACAAGTGTCAATAGCAACAGCAGAATAGGCTGTTTTGCTAATTTCTTCATGTGTGCATCGCACATACTCAATTCTGCTATTCATCCCACAAATGCGTGTTCCCTAAAAACGTTGCCACATTTTTAAGGAACATGCATTCAAAGTATATATAATATACACAGACTTTTCAACAGTATAAGTTTTAATGCCAAGCAGCATTGTTACAAAAATAGTCAACTAAACACACATTTCCTTACTTGTTATGCTAAGTTTAGTTTGCTAAAAGACAGGATAAAACTAAATGTCTTACCTTTTACCAGTTAAAAGAACACGGGCTGTTTGGACTTTGCAAAAACGTGAATAATTTTTGATAAAATGTATCATTATAAAAGTCAAAAAGAAAAACATTGTATAGGTCTTCTGGATGGGTTCTTCTCTAATGAAACGTTTCGTCTCTTCTCCAAGAGACTTCTTCAGTCTGAGAGTTTCAGGCAAAATTCAGGCTTTTGAGCCCTGCCTCCATGTGACTGATACTCACATCACATGGCTATCGTTGACACCTAATTAACACCTATTGTTAACAGCGGGTGGAGTGATACTGGCAATAGCCGCACTGTAGGAGGGGGACAACTGAAAATGGAGGTCTCCACCTCTGTTTAGTGATGGACGGTCTTGGATGGACTGTCAGTGATGGACGATCCGGTTCTCCGGCACAAACAGAGCAATATTGTATATGCTGTTAAGTGCCAGGAGGACTGCGACCAGTTATACATCAGGGA